CCAACACATTCTAGAATGAGCATAGTTATTTTTAGCCAACAGCAATCCCTCCTGATTCACTTATATGGAAGGAATAAAATGGGGGAGGGGGGAAATACTGTAGCTCTTATACAAGATTATTAAATACTATTCATGTACTCAATAAATATTTGAGAGATTAAATTTGGAAAACAAGAACACTAAAATAGGCAAGCAAAATATCATAACTAGGGGCCAGCTGAGTGGCTCAGTTGGTTAAGTGTTGGTTTAAGAGCGTGGGCTCTGAGCAACAGGGCCACCGGTTCAATTCCCACATGGGCCAGTGATGCTGCGCCCGAGCTGAGCTGTTGCTGAGCTGCCAACAGGTGGCAGGATGGCTCAGCTGATGTAACAACAAGATTGCCTGTTCGATGTTGGGCTACGCTTACCCACAACTAAGACTGAACTCAGGACCTTGAGCTGAGCTGCCGCCCGGATTGCTCAGTGGATAGAGCGCGCGCTCTTAACAACGAGGCTGCTGGTTCGATTCCCACATGGGATGGTGGCTACAACCACCCGCAACTAAGATTGAACACAGCACCTTGAGCTTAGAGGCCACGAGCTGCTGAAGAGCAGCCAGATGGTGACTGGCGCCCTCCACAACGAAAATTGAAGGACAACAACTTTGCTGGTTCCCTTCCCCAATTCCTCAACATTGTCCCTCTTCCCCAATAAAATCTTTAAAAATATATATCATAACTAAATAATCTTTCTTTTTCTTTCCTAATAAGCAATACTGAGAAACTGATAGCTAACATTTATTTTTTTAAAAACTTACTGTATGCCTGGCATGGTTCTAAGAGCTGAGAATACAGAAATTGAGTGAGCAATGGATCCTGCTCTCAAGAAACTTCCAATCTAGTGGGAAAGATCAATATGTGAACTAGCAGTTGTAGGGGGTGGGGTCTAGAACAGGGAAGCAGCCACGTCATCCCGGCCATCTAGGGTGCTTTGGCACTATGTCCCAGTAGGTAGTTTCCACTCTTTCTGGTTTCAGCCAACCATATTATGCCCTCGCTGGACAAATGCACACCAGGGGAAGCCCTACGCACCTAGGTCAGGACAATGAAGTCAGGATGATTAGGTACCCACAAAAGGACAGCAACAAGAGTTCAGAGAAGTAAAAAGTCCAGGGGAGGGAGAGAGAAGAGGGTCCAATCTTGACAAAAGGTTCTGCTTTCTCAGCTCCCTCCTGTGGCTCAGTCTTTACTCTCACCTCAGGTAATAATTCTGGAGCTTAGCAAATGCACGGAAACATTCGGAGGCAGTTTTTAATTACAGCTTATTTATACAAAGTACTGCTCCCTCCACATAGATTAACGCTATGCAAATACTCACACCTAACAGTCATGGGCCTAGAATAAGGTGGGAACTCAAGAAAACAAAATGAAAAGGCCAGACTTCAACCCTTGCATTTCAATCATCCCAAGAGCTCATCTTGTTTCTGAATCATATCTTAAGATTCCCTCCCTACAACTTCCTGCTGGATGCAGCGTGGTGCCCGCTCGCTCACCTTCTGCTGGAGCTCCTCGATGGTCCGGAAGTAGGACTGGTAGCTGGGGCACATCAAGGGCTCCTGCTGCTGGCACCGCTCCCGGATGAGGCACTCCAGCTCTGCGTTATCCCGCTCCAGCTGGCGCACCTTCTCCAGGTAGCTGGCCAGGCGGTCATTCAGGAACTGCATGGTCTCCTTCTCGCTGCCGTTGAAGGAGCCCTCGCAGAACCAGCCACAGTTGCCCACATTGGCGGGGATGTTGCAGGCCCCGGGCAGGGGGATGTTATGGCAGCTGGGGGCCACGCAGGGCCGGGAGGGGCAGCTGGAGCGGCAGCTCAGGTTGGGCAGGCAGCAGTTGTAAGGCATGGTGCTGGGAGGGAGTGAGGTGCCAGCTGAAGACAGAGTCCCGGTTCTCCAAGGACATTGTAGGTCTCCTTGCTCTGGGGAGCATTTATATCCCCTCCGCAGAGGGTGTGGACATGGAAGGCAACCCTTTTGTTCTTTCTTATTTGGTGATTGTCCAAAGCCCTTGCCCTCCATTTGTTACGTTTCCCCAGAAGAGTCCCTCACCTCATAAAACGCTTTACTCGGGCTTCTCCCTAACTTGGGACTCCTCTCCTAGGCTGTGTGTCAGTCAAGTAAGAGCTTCATGGTGTGGCTTCAAAGAGCTGGCCTTGTGAACGCCCTAGGCTTTACTAGTGGGGCGTGGCAGGTCCAGGGACACTGCTGCTTCCTGGCTTAACAGCCTTGACTCCTTGGCAAACCTCTGGCTCTTCTCGCTGAGAAAGCAAAACTTAGCTCTTGCCTGTGTGTCCTTTGCTGGATCACATTTCCAAATTCCCAATTCATGGTTCTTAGAAAGAGGAACAGATCCTCCTGCAACCATTAAAACAGCCTATTCCCAGATGGCCCTGTTTCCTGATATGGCAGGCCCCGTTGATCTCCATGATAATGTCAATCAACCAAATAGCAGATATCCACCAGGGTCACCGTTTGTACAGGGCACTGTGAGGAATGCAAGGTGAGACCAGGACTATGGTCAGAAGGAGCTGGCATCTGTCGGGCACCTGCACAGGCCCCAGGTTGTGCTGTACACGTTTCATGAACATGATCTCCTTCACTCCTCACCATGACCCTTCGGGGTAAATGGTGTTATTCCCATTTTAGAGATGGGCAAACTGAGGCACAGAGGGTAGGCGTCAACATGTTGTGAAGCCAGGATGCCAACCCAGATCTCTATTCTTTCCATTACACCTCATTCCCTAACTTCTTCAGACCTCAGTCAGTTGGAAAGTTCTGCATTAGAAGAATTGGAAGAAACTGAATAAGTACAGTGTGAACCAGGGAGTGACAGATGAGGGCGGAGGAGAAGCACATTATTTCTATCATCCCATGCTGCTTAGCTATAAATGACCTACCTCATTTCCTAACTTCTGACAGATCATCTTTTCCTCCTCCCTGAGCTTTCATTTCACCTTGAACTTGGCATTGTCATGACTTACGTGCCCATCTCTCTCTTGTTGAGTTCCCAGAAGGCATGAGGCACCATGTACATCTCCTTGCATTTAGGGTCCATCTTAAGGGCAATGGGGAGCCACTGAAAGTTCTAAGGAGAGGAGTGATGTAGTTGCATTTTTGGTAAGCTGTGTTTGAAGGAACAGGGAAATGCTCAGCAGCTCCTTGGAGTTGACTAGATGTCACGACAGATATAATCCTAGTGCGGATGTGAGAGTTGGAGAGATGAGCCAGGGGAGAGTACACAAAGAGAAGAGCAAAAAGGGGCTGAGGACCAATCTTTGGAAAATTCCCCAACCAGAGAGCAGGAGAAAGACCAAAAGTCAGGGAGAAATGGAGAAATGGCAAGAGAAAATGAAGAGAGCCAGTTCATGGTGTGACAGAAGGTCACGGGGAAGAGAGCTTCAAAGTAGGTGTGAAGGTCAAAACTGTCAGCTGTGGCAAAGGGCCCTCGTAAGATCAGAATCATGAAAAAGATCTTGAATATGTTAACCAGCATGTTGCCACAAACGTGTGCCTACTGTATACAGCACCTGTGCTCTTAAAGTAACACACTGAACTTTGGTCAACTGAGACTTTAAACACCCTGGGCTGAGATGTTCATTATTTAGAGAACTCCTGCCACAATCAGTTTGTATGCCAGATTATAAAGCCTAGAAGCTTTGGTCTTACCAACACAGACTTTCTTACAGTAATTAGAGTGTGCTTTAAGCAGTTTAAAGATGTCAAGCTTGTTTGGATGTGACAATTCATAATAGTCGATGACTTAGGAACAATTACCCAAGAAGCATAAGCACTCGGTTGTCAATGCATATAACTCTACTTCGGTTTTGTTGCAAGGAATAAAATGAGACTTACGTGATATCCTAAAGAGAAGCGATGAGGGAAGAATTCAGTTGTGTGTCTAGATACATTGCCCAGGACAGGGAGGGGCCCCTGAGTATTGTCCTAGCAGAGGACAGAGCAGAGCTCAGAAAAGGACTCACAGCAGAGCCCAAGTCCCTCAGCTACAGCTGCAGATCAAAAAATATACTGCATTGCATTGGGCTCTCCCTTTCCTCCTTTCCACCTCTTACGGTAGGTCCCAAATGCCAAAATAGTCCAAAGAGACAGGGAAAATCTTGGAACAAGAGTGGTATCAGGAATCTTAATGATCATCTCATCCAACTCTCTTATTTTACAAATGGGGAAACTGAGGCTCAGAATGAAGAAACGGCTTGCTGAGGGTCTCATAGTTTGAACCCAAATCTGCTGATTCCCACTGTAGCCCCAGCCCCCATCACCACGCTGCAGAAATGTTGAATAATTTCACAACCCATCTGATCTGCCACAAGTTAGGAGCAGAAATCAAAGGCAATGAGACAAAACAGAAAGAAACAAAATGTTGTTATCCATAGATATGCTCTGTTGAAGAAGAATTAAGGGTGAATGTAGCAATAATGATAGCTTTCAGCAATACAAAAGTAGTTTTTGACTCCCTGATTTCAATTGTTATTTCTACTTTGATGATACAAATATATCTTAACACTTTGAAGCAACTTAGATACAATTATATACCATCAGATATGGAATTATATCCCATCAGTTGGAGAAACTTAGAACCACAACAGTTCAAATGATGGTGGCTCTACTCAAGAGCAACACACTCACCCAAAATAGGGTACACAAATATAGTCATAACAAAATTAAAAATAATATGATTTTAACAACGAGGACAATTGAGAGATAAGAAAGAACCACACTACAATGGTGACACTGGATGCTTTTAAGTGGTAGGATTATGAATGCTTTTTCTTTTTTTTTTTTATTTCTATATACTTTGTTGTCTTCTCCAAATTTTTTGAAAGCATGTGTATTAGTTATACACAAGAAAAAGAAATAAAATTGACATTAAAAATTACAAAAGGAAATTCTTACAAGTATTCTAAAGACTTAAAGAATCGTAAAAGGACCCAGGTAAGACTCCTGTTCCAACATAATCATGACATTGCACTTGAGCTTGTTATTCTGGAAATAAAACCTTTGTGATGATTGGCATTCACATCCTTGTGATAACTGCTGAGTTTGTCAATTCCAAAGGGGATCTATTAGTAAGTGATGAAGGGAAACCAAGCTTCCTGTGGGATCAAACAACCTGTAGCTCATGAACTGACTGATGAGTAGGCCTGAGCTTCAGGTGAAGAGGCTGGCAAGGACAGAAATGTTCTGCCAGACGACAGCCAGCCTGGAAGACTGGGCGTTAGCTCACCTCGCGGAGCCACATGCAGAGGATGGATTTCCCACGCATGTAGATGATGATAAATTTTTCTTTTCTGGGAATAGTGTCTCAGTCAGATGAAGTCTAGAATCTTAGAATGTTGGCGTACCCAGGACCTAAGCAGCCATCTCACCCAACTCTTTCATTCTGCAAATAGGAAAACGTTGACTCAAAGGAGGAAGTGACTTGCCCAAGCTCACACAGAGAGTTTGTGAAAGAGTCTAAATTGGAAAAGCGTAAATTAAGTTAGACTTGGGAAATGAGGAACAAGGGATAAGACCTCTTTGGTCTTTAGGAGAAAGTTGGAACTCAGATCACTTGAAAAAAAGCCACACCTCTTAAAACTCTGCACCCTTAATGAAAAATGAACTTAAAAAAAAAAAAAGTATGCTCATTGTTACAGGAAGATATTTTTTTTTAAATGAAAAAGAAAAAGCTGCATTGTGTCTTACTAAGCTCTAAATTTAAAACATTATGTTATGTAAAAGAAGCCAGTCACAAAATACCACGTCTTGCATGATTCCATTCATATGCAAGGTCCGGAACAGGCAAATCTGTGGAGACAATAGTGATTGCCTAAGGTCTAGCAGGTGGGATGCAGTGGGAGTGACTACTAATTGAGTACAAGATTTCTTTTTGAGGGTGATGAAATGTTCTAAAATTGCGGTAAAGGTTACATGACTCTATCAGTAGATTTAAAATCATTGAATTACATACTTCATATAGGTGAGTTTTATGGTATGTACATTCTGTATTATGGTATGAATTATACTTTGATGAAGCTATTTTTTAAAAATAATTCAGGAGAAAATAGAATAGGACAGAAGCAATATTCAAAAAATATAATGGCTGAGAATTTTCTACAGGGGTTGAAAAACATAAATCAGTTCTAGAAGCACCTAAGTCCTAAACAGGAAAACAAAACCAGACCCACCCCCTATATATGATGCAGTGAAGCTACACAACACTAGAAACAAAGAGAGCACCTTACGGAGAGGGAGAGAAAGAAAAAGATTACCAACAATAGAGTGAACCACAGTTAGATTAGCAATAGGCTTTTCAACACTGATAACAAAACCCAGAAGGCAATGGTGTTTGGGAGGCACCTGTCCCTGATAAAGGCAGCTGCAGGTAACTATTAGTGGGCCGTGGTCCCAGCACAAATGGGAAACTGATGAGATGGATTGGACGAGGGTGTTTGTATGAGGCATGGATGGACGTGGTTCCTGGGGATGAACTTGCCCTGAAGGAAGAGAGGCTAAACTACACCAACTGGGTCTGGGACATTCTGGACACGGCATGGAGTGTCACTTCCAGGGTCTCATGCCTGAGGTCTGGATAACGGAGTTCCAACAACATCAACAATAACGGAGTAAACATGGAACAAGGACAAGCATTTAAGACCAACATTGGAGTAGGCATCATCACAGCAGCGGGAAGAGGGTCAACTTCATCTCAAGGAGAGAAAACATAATCGGCAGTTTGGCCAGAGACCTGGACAGTGACCTTGCACAGACCACAGCAGGCACAGCTATGGGAGCCAGTAACCTTGGGCGGACATCAGTGGGTACCAGCAGAAGCAGGGCAGCAGCGGAGCTGTCACTTTGAGCATTGGCAAAGACTTAATAGCCCAGTTTGACTCTAAAGAACATTTTGGTAGAGGAGGGGGGGTCTCAAAATCCAAATTTAGTCCCAGTGGTTAAAAAATCCAAATGAGAAGAGAAACACTTTAAAAATCTGTTGGCCCTTTCTACTATTATGAGCTCGTCAGTATTTCCCAAAGGAGAGTTTCAAAGGCATTTGGGATACTAATAGCATCATGTCTCCCCAGGTGACAATTTTGAAGGACACATAAGCTCTGGGTGCTTGTTTGAAATCAGTTTTATTCTCTCATCATCACATCTCACATGTAACTGGCATTCATAGAGTGTTGGGTTCAGTCCCAAGGCTGCCACTTATGCAAGTAAGAGAAAAAAATTAGTCATGCAGTTCCTGGACTTGGTTGCTGTTCAGTAAATGTTAGCTCCTGTCCCTCATTTCATAGGCACTTGGGAAAGAAGAAGTGGAACTTTCTAGAAATGGTAGCCATTGTATTTTACTAATACAATGTGTTTATCATATTCAGATGAATATGATAATGTGTTTATCATATTCAGATGAATATGATAATGTGTTTATCATATTCAGATGAGGCCTCTTGCCATAGTGGTCCCACTGGTTCCCTGCTCGCTGGTCTGAGTGGATACTGGGGCTAATTGTTCTTAATGACTGTTAATTAATGGTGACAAGACCTTTTAGAAGATTAAACTACACAATCCGCTTATGCTTTCAAGTGGTTTTACAAGGAGCATACACATATAGAGCAAACACTTGGAAAAGAATGAATACAAATTATCTTTGCTTTGCAAGAGGAAAGTTTATTAGGAGATGTGCACAGGGATTTGGGGAGGTGCAGAAAAGTCAAACAAGCAACAGAGAGAACCAGATAACACCTCAGATTACACGTTCACGGCCCAAACCTGTCAGACCACAGGTCACAGAATAAGTACAGGAGAGTGACCTTCAATGAAAAGGTTCAGGCAGGCCTGGGCTTAGAGCCAAGCCTGAGTATTTATTCTTCTTCCAGACCATGATCTATGGTGATGCCTGGGGTGGGGTCCTGTGGTGATGGTTGGCAGAGAAGCAGGGCTGGTCAGTTGGTGGTCCTTCTGTCTTCATGCAGTCCTCCTGCTGGCCCCGGGAGGTCTAGCACCCAAAGGTGCTGCAGGGCGCACAGCGGATGCGGGGGCCACAAGGGGCACAGGGATTGGTGATGCAGGGCCCGATGGGCTTGTCACACGCGTTGGTTGTGGCACAGGGGTTGCAGGGGAGCCTAGGACACAGAATCATTAGCTTGTCAGCATAAGAGGAATAATAAAAACAATTGAGGAGGGGATTCAACCCAAGGAGATGTAGGAACAAGCAGCATCCGTTCTCGGAGGTGTCAGAAAGCCAAGCCTGTTCTGATCGCTCCTACAAGGTCAGAGATGGTGGAAGAAAAAAGCAATGACTCGAGGCTCAATCCCAGCCCTCGCTCTCCAACCCTGGAGTCCTGGGGAAGTCACTTCATCCCTCAAGGCTTTGGCTTCCCCGCATAAGACAGGATCAGTAAGACCTACCATACAGAAATGTGGAAAGTCCAAAAGACTGTTCATGAAAATACTGTGTTAGGTGACAAGCGCTGGACCCTATGAGTTATTGAGTCGTGTTTTGATGTTCAAATGCCCATCTATACGATGCTTATACTGACCCCCATTCTGCTTGCCTGATATGGGTCCAACTAGGATCCATGAAACAATGGATTTGAGTGTTTAGGTTAAATCCAAAAGCACTATTCAATATACATGATGGTTGTTACAGCCTTGTTTTCCCTTTTGCTGTGACAGCCAACCCTGAAGGTACAAAGCTTTATTTACCCATCAGCATCCAAAGACACAAAAGTGGGGAAAATAGTCAAGTCTCTCAAGTATCTTTTGGACCAGAAAATACTTTTAGGCCAGGTAATGGTATCAACAAATCCCCTCCACTTCCCACTGCTGTAATATAAAACTCTGGTCTCTACAGGCATATTGGCATCTGAAACATGACCTGCAAGGTCTCTCTTACGTCCTCCAGTGCATGTGTTTTGCAGGGATGCTGCCTGCTGGGTACTCACTTGCAATCCTCGCTCTCCAGCAGGCCCCGATACGTGTTAATCTCACACTCCAGCCGCGCCCGGACGTCCAGCAGCACCTGGTACTCCTGGTTCTGTCGCTCCAGGTCGCCCCTGATCTCGGCCAGCTGGGACTCCACGTTGGTGATCATGCACTGCATCTGGGACAGCTGGGAGCTGTAGCGGGCCTCCGTCTCTGTCAGCGTGTTCTCCAGAGAGTCCCTCTGTGTGGGGAAGACACAAGATGTCACAGAGCAGCTCCTTCACCGGGTTTCTCCATAGGGTTCCAGAGAAGCCAAAGCTTCAAGAGTTCAGGAGAGTAAGGCCCATGGGCACCCCAGGGACTCGGAGTCCCCACCTCACATTTCTCACTGGGAGGTCTGCACCACACCCACCAGGTTGTGCTGGGCCTGCAGCTCGATCTCCAGGGCATTGACCGTGCGTCTCAGCTCAATGATCTCTGCCTGGCAGGTCTGCAGCTGCTCCGAGCTGGACACCACCTGCTTGTTCAGCTCCTGAGTCTGAAACACCAGATGGAGAAATAGGATCAGATCCTGCCTTAGGAGCCCCGGGGGTCCTGAGTGGCCATGTGCTGAGGTGCTGAGGTGCCCACCTGGGTGTTGTACCATTCCTCCACGTCCCTGCGGTTGGTCTCCACCAGGGCCTCATACTGACACCTGGTCTCATTGAGCACGCGGTTCAGGTCCACCGTGGGGGCAGCGTCCACCTCCACGTTGAGGCGGTCCCCAATCTGGCAACGCAGGGTGTTGACTTCCTGATGGAGGAAGGGAAAGAAATGAACTTACTGAAAGAGTCTATAAATAAATTCTCTTTGAGAGAGTTCAGTGTGGTGGGAAGAGGATTGCACCAAAATATAGGATTCCTGAGCTGAAGGCTAATTGATGTATAACCCAGCTAAGTTAACTCTTGTGATTTAGGCCTCCTGTCTGAGTCCTTCCTCTTCAGTGTCATGAGGCTGCTTAATGAAATGATACTAATGCTTCTTCCCACTCCAAGATTCTATCATTTCTTTTTGATTTTCTCTTTGCTCAATGATAAGCTTAGCAGGATAACTGGCTTATAATTGTTGCTACTTAAATATAGAGAAACCAGGTTTAACTCCTCTCATGGATTTCATATCGTCTACCATCTGATACTGACCATTAGGGGTTGTTTCCTCTTCATCAAAACATCTAATGTTTAAGACATGTATCTGGTTTCCTGGAATTACATTTGACCATGAGGCCTGAATCAACCATTATTTGGATTCCTTCACTTCTACCATTTTCCCCATGCATTCATCCATCCATCCATCCATCCATTGAGCTAGGGTTCTCATATCTAGGTGATACATAATACAAGGAAGTATGCTATCTCTGTCCAGTCTTAGTCATTCATTTGGCATCTATTGAAAAAATAGCAGATATTATCAAATAGTAGAAAGTATTTGTGTGGACTTTTAGTCCCAGGTCTGGCCCCAAGTGGACATAGGTCAGCTGACTACACTCATTTCGGTAAAAAATAAATTAAAATGGAGGCCTATAATTCATGCGCCAACAATCCCCAAGCGTGTCTTGAGCAACCAGCAAACTGTTGTGTTAGCTCTAGGGAGCTTAGCAAAGACCTACCTTAACCTGATCAGGGGAGTTATGGAACTCTCAATATGAGCGTATTGGCGGCTGGGACTCCCTCACCTGCTCGTGGTTCTGCTTAAGGCAGAGCAGCTCCTCCTTCAGGGACTCCACCTGGGCCTCCAGGTCGGACTTGCACAGGGTCAGCTCGTCCAGGATCCTGCGCAGGCTGTTGATGTCCGACTCCACCAGCTGCCGCAAGCCCAGCTCCGTCTCGTACCTGCACACACAGCCAAAGGTCAAAGAAGGTCACAGTGGAAGAATGTGTCCCAGGCTTACTTGGCTGACCTAGTCAGATTCATTATATTTTGAATTTTTTCAAAGTATATGAAAGGAAAAAAAAAAACATCACAATCTAAGTAAACAGAACCATTTCTTCCCTGAGGTCCACAGAGAGGGTATTGATGGAGTGCCTATCCCCAGTTCTAATCTAATAGTAACTGCATTTGTTCTAAGAATCCCATTCATGGGTTGCTGTCAACCAAGTCCTGTCATCTTGCCTTCTTAAGTGAGTCAGTAAACTTTGTAAGCCTGCTCTTCGTATTGTCTCGCCCTTCTTTCCAACCACCCTGAGAATCAGTCTGGTGTGGCAAGAGAAGCTCTGAACTAGAAGTCAGATTCAGCCTTGCCATTATGACTGTGGGTAAATTCCTTAATCTCTCTGAGGCTTGATTTCCTTATTTATAAAATGCAAACCACACTAACACTTCATTGGCTTGGACTAAAGATGAAGAAATGGCTGAATAATATTGTATATCAACTATAATCTAATATGTATATAGTCATGGGATATGGAGCACAGCATAGGGAATAGAGTTAATGGAATTGTAACAGATATATATGATGTCAGAGGGGCAATAGATTGGGAGGGGGGGGGTTATCACTTTGTGAGGGGTGAGATGTTTAACTATTACATTGTTTTGTACACCTGAAACATAATAATAATTAAAAAAGAAGAAAAAGAAATGGCATAGGTAAAACTACATTGTCGACTGTAAAGTCCCATACAAATGCAAAGGATTCTTATGATTGTAATGGCCACACCTAGAAAAATTTATTGATTCTCTGAAATGGATTTTGCCTCCTATTTTTGAGGTTTAATTACTTTTTTCCGATGAGCTGATTGTGACTAATCTGTACTAAGAAACTGGTGTGAAATTCACTTTTCAACTTGGTCCACACATTAAGTTGAAAAAGAGAAAGAATAGGTGCACTCCTCCAAACTAAACTTAAAATATAGAATCCTAGTATTCAGGGAGGAGACTTTAACTGACATTTAACCTAATGAACTCAATGCAAGAATCCTCCCAATAGCACCCAGACAGCTTCTGCTTGTGTGCTCCCAGGACATAGTCCATCAATTTAATCTTGGGCCAGTCCCTCACCAGACAGCTCTGATCATTAGAAAGCTCTTACTTGGTTCTGAAGTCATCCGCAGCCAGCTTGGCGTTGTCAATCTGCACCACCAGCCTGGTATTCTCCGCCTTGGTGCACAGGATCTGGAGACAGGATTAATCGTGAAAGGAGTTACACTGAGAAGGGGTGCCTTGTGCCTTAACACGAAAAGCTATTTTCTTCCAGCCATATTTCTTCCCAATAGCTTTGAGTCTTCTCCGATTTCAGTTTGGGGATAAAAAGAGGATTCATAGAACTGATCGTTTCAAAACTAAAACAGCCAAGGAAAATGTGCCTTCTGTCATGAATTCTTCTCTTCTTGGTCTGTCTCTGGCTTCCTGTAGGAACTGAGTATACTGGGTGCCAAGCCTAAGATAGGGGGACCAGTGTCCCACTTTGCTTAGGACTAGGGGGTTTTTAGGATGCTAAACCCAGAAAAATCCCAGGCACACCAGGCCAAGCTGGTTAGCCTACACTCATACCCACTTATTCCAGCCCTGATGACCTCAGCCCACTCTCCCATCATGTTGCCCTAGACAAGGCTTTTGCACAAAGCTTCTCCCTCTGCCTGGGTTGCCCTGGGGTGCCCTCCCCCACCTACAAAGACCCCTTGTATAGCCCACATTACCCCTCATTCCCCAGCTCCTGCAGGGGGTCACTTCTTCAAAGCACTCTCACAGTATTTTGCCTGTAGACAGTTACTTCTCATCACCTTCACCATGGCCATTCATTTCCACATCTCTCTCCCCTATTAGACTGTAACCTCCTAAAGGAAAGGGACTACTCAGTATTTCATCCCTTGCTCCAACACTGTACCTAGTACCCACTGAATGTGGGGAAATGAATGCATGCTCTTCAAATCACATGGTCCTTTCCTGGCATTCACTCTGCCAGAACCACAGGACAGTGGACAGTCAGTCCCCGCTGACAATCAAGGGCTTGTGCAATTGATATAAATTCCTGTTCAGATTTCAAATCCTGCTCAGATAGTGCCTCTTCTAGGAAGCCCTCCCGGATTTATACCATGTATTAAGTGCCACCTCTATGCTCACCCTTTACTTATCTCGACTTCTACTACATTGCTGGCCCTGAATTCTCAGTTGTGTTCATGCTCCAGTGGACAGTACAGTGTCTGTACCTAATAATGAGGCTTCTGGAGTCAATGGTTCTTTTGCTTTTTTTTTTTTTTTTACAGAGCCTCTTACTGCATCTTTGAAAGGCTTTAAATGTTTGAGAACTCACTAAGGAAATTCCTAGCTCTGAGAAATAATTCAGGTGCACACATTTTTTTTTTAATGCTGTAGGCTCTGAAAACAAGACCAGGATATCACAAGAGAACTAAAGAATTAGATATTCTAGCTCTGGGTAAGAAGCAATATAAGATTGATCTGATGAATTTGGGCCTAAGGCCTTACCCTCTCCCCAATCTGTCTCCTTCCCATGTGGGGCTTCCCAAATAGGTTTTCTAAGACTACTGGATAATGCCAACCAAAGCTGGTGAAGTCTATGTCTTTATCATTCTCCACATTGGCTGTGAACAGTCTTAGATCCGTTCAGAAGTGGATATGTTAAATTTGGATAAATAATTCAATTAAATCGACAGCGTGGTGCCCGCTCACCTTCTGCTGGAGCTCCTCGATGGTCCGGAAGTAGGACTGGTAGCTGGGGCACATCAAGGGCTCCTGCTGCTGGCACCGCTCCCGGATGAGGCACTCCAGCTCTGCATTCTCCCGCTCCAGCTGGCGCACCTTCTCCAGGTAGCTGGCCAGGCGGTCATTCAGGAACTGCATGGTCTCCTTCTCGCTGCCGTTGAAGGAGCCCTCGCAGAACCAGCCACAGTTGCCCACATTGGCGGGGATGTTGCAGGCCCCGGGCAGGGGGATGTTATGGCAGCTGGGGGCCACGCAGGGCCGGGAGGGGCAGCTGGAGCGGCAGCTCAGGTTGGGCAGGCAGCAGTTGTAAGGCATGGTGCTGGGAGGGAGCGGAGCTCTGAAGGTCAGTTTCAAAGCCTGATTCCTTTTCTCGGGTGTAAGCCTTGGTCCTCTCCCAGGGCTTTATATTCTGTCAGCAGTGGGTGTGGCAACCACGCGCTGCATTACCCCCTTTTTACCCTGTTTACCAACTTTTCCATTTGCTTTTTAGCCACCTCACACAAGTTCTTTACCTCATAAAATGTTTTACTCTGGCTTCTTGTTAAGTCGGGACTCCTCACCAGTCGTGCTGGTTGGTCAAGTAAGAGCTTCAAAGTGACCAACCCATTACCTTGCCAACAGCAGTGCTTACTCACAGGGTGTTGAGTTAGAGTGACAGCTGTACCCTGTCCCCCAGAGTTGGGAGCACTTCTGTGCCTATTTGTCCTAAACGAGGTAAGGTCTGTGCCTCATCCAGCTCATACCCAGTAAGGACTCTGTGAGACAAGCCATCTAAAGTAGCCCACTTAGAAACTAGACTGCTGGGTAGGGAATCCTGGAAGCTGAGATCAAAAAGGCTAATGAGGCGATCCAGTTCAAGGTCTCTTAGCCATTTCATCCAAACCAGATGGAGGCAATTCCAGCCTCTTCCTAGTGGGAGCTTCAGGAAGCCTCTCAGGCTCCATCTCTGCTAGTACTCAATGTTCACAGAATGTTAAGGAAGCTAACATCTTGGGAGCACCTACGCAGCGTGAGGACTGTACCTTGTGCTTACACACAGTATGGCTGTTACTGGAATGGCTCCTGCTTGCTGAGCACCCACTGTGCTAAGCACCTCATATACGTTATCTCTTTCAGTCCTCACAAAACCCTGCAGGGTTTGTAGATAAAGACCCCAAGCCTCTGAGAATTTGACCATGCTCAGAGCTCTTACATGATGGAGCCAGCATTCAAACCCAGATCTCTGATTCCAATAACCACGCTCTCTCCATCACACTAACTGTCTTTCTCTTCCAATTATTGAGAAGCAATAATGCACAAATGGATTGAATTCAATGGGACTCAACCACTACTAGACAACATCCCCTCCTAAATTAGAATGGGCGAAGAAATCAAAGCCTGTTCTCTATCAAAGAAGCAAAGGTCATTTTTTATTCTAAGGAAAGGAAGTCTACTAAGTGATAAAGTGTAATAACCACTGAAAGCTAAAAAAAAAAAAAGGAAGCCATTGATTGCTTTGACATAGACACCTGAGCCCACTTCTCCAAAGGATGTGACCCTGAAAAGCCACTAGTTTGTTATGTGCATAATGGCATCTTGTGATCATCAATACATTTTGGCCAGCAGATGTTCCGCCCTCATGCTATTCCAGATGGAGACATGAACTATGAAGATTTTATGTTTAACCTATCAGTGCTCAAAATATGAAAGGTACTTCTTAAAGTAATTCCTTTTGGAAGCGCTATGCTAATTCCTCTCATACGGCTGTTACTCAGGTCCAACCCTTCTTCTAACTTGCCCTCACAGCCTGGGACATTTCTTTTGCTTACCCTCATTGAAGGCAAATCTTCATCTTCTGAGGGTGTGCTTATTTGTGAAACCAGCAAGATATCATTTGAAACCAAGCCCAGTGAGGAGTGGGATGAACAACCAAACTGAGCAGTATTTATAATGGGTCAGAAACACATTGTGACTATAAAATAACAATGTACATTTTCTTGGGTGATTCTAAAAGTCATTTCCAAAGTGGAGCTTCAGATACACTTTCATGAAAGTCAGCATTTTGGGAGAAAATGTGTGCTCTCCCAGAGTGTATGCTTTGAAGGTACTGATACCCTCACCCACATTCACAACCTACAACCCTCCGCTACTCTTGCCTGAATCTCTACCTTTAGAGAGAAGTGGGATGGGCATGTGGGTTTAAAATCGGTACCAAACTGTTTGAAACCCTGTTAGATGAGCTCAAATAACTTAAAACAATTAGCTGGATTTACAGGCTCTTCTCTGTCTTTCCCCTTCTTCTCTGCCCCAAGCTTCAAGAGAAAAATCTAGACAATGGCACTTTTTAAATAAGAAGAAATACAACTATTCCCACATCTTGAGTAGAAGTAATGATAATGATGACTGTTGCCTAACTATGTGGTTGTTCAATAATGATGGTTGACAAGACTTGGGTCTATTGAGAAAATGCCAAGTTTCAATTAGCTTTCCAGGAATTCTGGAAGGCAATTCCTTTTTATTTATTTCACTTTGTACTGTGAATTCCTGCCTTTACATAAGCAATGACATTGTCTCTAGTCAGTGACCCTTCAATAAACGTGATGAGCAAATCAGATCCTAACAAACAGAGAGGTTTTACACCTGCCCATGTAATTGTTGTAGACGCTGTGGGAAGGCTCCTGGATTCCAGATGTAAGCAAATTGCAGTTAAGATTGAAGGATACTCTTTATTATAGAAGCCAAGACTATTTTTGTGGGGAAGATCACACATAGACTCATCAGTGGTAGTTAACCATGGAGTGGAGTCAGGGCAGATCTTCTGCTGAGGCCATCCTCCCTGTGGCAAGACTTAAAAGGCATTAAGAGGCCACCCTTCTCCTCCCAAAACTACCTTCTCTGATGGCCAGGTCCTGACACTTAAAATTCTCACAAGGAGAAATGTAGAATGTCATCTTTGGGAAATACAAAGTTACATATTGGGTCACTTGTCAGTTAATTGTATTTTAATGTGTACAAATGCCAAGGAGGGGGCAGTAGTAGTATCGATAGGCACACACAGAGCAAGAGGACTGACATGCCAGACAGATGAAAAGTCACCCACTGGTGTGTTAGAAAAGCAGAAACACTGTTCAATACCAACACCAGCCCATTATGTTGAGCCAACCCCAGTTAGAGTTGCTTATATGACCAAGGTGCAGATGGGACTTCCACAGACCATTTCATAAAGGTAACTTGCCAATTTACCAATTGCCCACCCTCACTACATTGAGGGGAGAAATTGTGATGATAATCGAGAAACTAAGCTGTGAGATAATGCTCAAACAGGGTTTCCAATGAGGTACAAGCAGGAGAGGACCTAGAGAATAAGCCAGGTCAGTAATAAGATGGACTGAGCAGAGAGGAACAGATACCTCAAAATAGAACTTGGGGACCTATTCCACAACCCTCACCAGAACTGCCATTGTTTCTCTTACAGTCAGTCTTGGACTCCCAATGGAAATGAAGTCCCAGTGGGAGGTCTTAAAGGATAAACTGAGCCAGAAAAATGCAAAGTTCATCGGTATGTTTTTAACTCTACCCAGTCTAGAATAGAGAAGTTAAGAAGAACATGAAATGATCCGAAATAATGCAACTTAATTGTCCTAGTCTTCTGGGAAAGCTGGATTCAGGGACCACTCAAAGAAGGAATGAGAATCAGTTTAAGTGACTGCTCTGCAGAGCAAAGGGAACAGCAAATGCTAAAACATTTTAGTAGTACACAGAGGAAAACACAAGTAGCCTTTATGTTTAGTATGAATGTGCTGTGTTGAACTTTCGCGTTAAGTTCACTTCAAGTTGGTGATTTGAACACAGATTTGAAAGAGACACTGAAATATGGCTTCTTCTGCCAGCACCCCACAGACCTTGCTCTTATTTTTTTTTTAAGATTTTTATTGGGGAATTGGGGACTGTAAACAGCGCTGGGGAATTGGGGGAAGAGGAACAGACAAGTTGCTGACCTTTTGTTCTTCAGTCTAGTTGTGGAGGATGTTGCTTCACTGGCCCAAGTTGGCACCATCGTTGCGCTCTTCCCGGGCGAGGCAGATCAGTCACCAGCTTCTGGATGGCCACTCACTGTGGCTGCTGGCCGCTCACACTGGCTGCTGGCTACACACGGTAGCCCGTGGCAACCCACTGCAGCAGTGGCTGCAGCCTATGCTGTCGCCAGCGACTCAGGTTGCCCAGCTCCAGGTTGAGGTGTTGTTCAGCATCTTAGCTGTAGAGGGCAGTTTCACTGGTCCTCATATGTGGGATCTGAACCAGGGCCCTCTGGCATCCCAAGCCGGCTCTTAACCAATGCGCTACTTGGCCGGCCCCAGACCCTGCTCTTTACAGTTCCCAGGGATCTCCCCGTTGCTAGTTCCAGTGGATTTGTCTAAATTCTCATTTTCTTTGACATGGATGCTTTTGACCATCTTAATGTCGAAACTGAATTTTTTTTACTTCTGTGTCACTGCAGCTGCTTCTCCACTTCCCTTTCCAACTGCTTCTAACCAGATGTCATCTCTATCTTCAGAGATCCAGCTAAAACAAAGCAGAACCTCATGTCAGGGACTTTGGAGAGCCCCAGGCCCACTCTGCCATTTTTATCCATGGTCCCCATGTTCTTTCATACGCTAACATCTGCCCCTTCGCAGTGTTAACAACTCCTACAGCTCTGTGATCTTTTCTTTAAAAATTTTTATTTAAAATATAGCTAACATAAAATATTACATTAGTTTCAGGTGTACACCATAGTAATTCAACATTTATATACCTAAAGAAGTGATCACGACAGTAAGTCCAGCAACCATCTAACACTGTACAATGCTATGACAATATTATTGACATTATTCTCCATGCTGTACATTACATTCCCATGACTTATTTGTTTTATACCTGGAAATTTGGACCTCTTATTCTTTTTCCCCTTTTCTCACTAAAGGTGGGAAGAGTTGTGGTCAACAGGTTAATGTAGACTCTAGTTTGGTGCCAGTGCTGAGCCTGGAGCTAAAGACTCAGAGCACACCAAGGCCAGTGACCACCTGCCTGGGGCCCATGGACTCTAATAGTTTCCAAGAAAGAGTGCAATGAGGAAGGGGCTGGCTGCTTGGGGAGAAAGTGCCTCCAGCTGTTCTTGAGTTGGGTGGCGTGGGGTCCCAACTGAGTCAGCAGGCCAGAATTCAGAGCTCACCAGGCCAGTCAGATTCAGATTTGGCCTGTGGGGGCAGGCTCAACATAGGAAGATGGCGCCCACCTGCCAGCTGCACAGAAGGAGAACCCCTCACCAGGAAAATGCTGACTATTCTCCAGTCCTCTTCCCACAGCCACACACCTCAGTCTGCCCCCCGTATGTCTCCGA